GGAGTGAGGGTCTGACTTGGTACATAAGGCAGCTTCCTATCTCCCTCTGGGCTCCTGGCTGGCCGCTGTGGTTCTTTTTACGTTCTCTTGTGTGCAAGCCATAAGAGCTTTCCAACGAGCGTTTGGGTCAAGTGCCTTGCCGCCTTTGTCAGTTGCCTCACCTTCCTTGCTTCTTATGGTACCTGAATCCATATGTAGTGGTTTGGATGCAAACATGTCTTATCGCCCAAGCATCTGCACGCTTTAAATTGTTCCTTTTTTTTAATCTGCAAAGTTTCACCTGGGCAATGTTTCACCTGCAGTCTCTGCCACCAATAATGCTTTGCATCCCCCTCCTTCTGTATTTCCTTTTAACGTGTCCCAGGCTCTACGGGATGATTCAAAAGAAGAGATTTGGAGGTAAGATAGAATTCTTCTGAATTCTCCCTTACTCATCCGTCACTTGCCAAGCTCCCTGTTGATCTTCTTTACACTTCTTACATAGTCCGTATCGCAATAACTGTTGGACGCTTCCTCTGTGACACCTTTTCTGTCACTACTGTATTTCAGTTTCTGGTTATCCTTAGATATTCTCCTTGCTTCCATCATCAAATCACTGTCCCTTTATTTCCAGATCCTATGGTCAGAGTTTCTCCTAAACCCAACATTTCCCCGCTTTCCCAGCTCTGGGTTCCTCTGTTACTCTCCTAAATGCTGGTGATGACTTAGGAAAGGGCCACATAGCGTTAAGAGCTTTTCCTCGCATGCAGGATCTCCCAGGTTCAATCCCTGGAATCCCCAGGTAGAGCTGGGAATATCACCTGTCTGAAGACTTGGAGAGCTACTGTCAATCAGAGTAGACATTATTGAGCTGGGTGGACCATTGGTGTGACTCAGTATGCTTCCTGTGTGGGTGTTTTAGATGTATATGTAACATGCAAACGCAAATACCCGAATTAAGAACCTAAGAAGGAGCCTGCTGGATCAGCATTCTAGTCCAGCATCCTGTTCTCACTGTGGCCTCCCAGATGCCTGTGGGAAAACCGGCAAGCAGGACCTGAGCATGAGGATTTTGATGGTCCACCCCCCAGGAAAAGTCATTTTGGGCAATTTGGAGCAAAGGAAAGGAATGTGTGTGCCTGTCGCTTCTCCGATCTAAACACCCCCTTCCTCAAATGAGGCTGCTTTTGCAGCTTGAATCCCACTGGATTCCCAAAGTGTCATTTCCTTTAAAAAGAAATGGGCAGTTGTCATTTGGTTACATGGATTAATGTGTAAGGTGTAGCCAGGCTCTCAATGCACCGGCTTAGCCTCTTGCACTCCAGTGATCTGCACTGGCTGCTTGTGAAGATTCTCATCTGTGCGCAGAAGCTGCTCTTATTTCTGCCGGTGATGATTGCTTTGCTGTTTGACTTCAGCTCCTACAATTTTGGGCCCCTTTAGAGGAAAAGCCTCTGAAGTTTCCTACTGTTATTAGCTGTTGCTCCTAGTTACTTCTGTGCATGTCAGGTGGACCCATGTGCTGAGTTTCAAAGACTGCTGCTGAGAATCCAATCAGAAAACAATGAACTGACCACTTATCTTGGGTGCAGTACACCTTCTAAGGCTCCCATTGTCCTGAGCATTGAAAGGAAAAATCTGAAGGGGAGAAAAGAACCCTATCTCCTGTTTACAGCGTTTCAGGAAGGAAAGGAGCCACGTGTTTCAGCAGCACTGGAAACGGGCATTTCCCAGGGAGGCTGGAGATAACAAATCAATGGTTTGGAATTAGAAAACGCAACTGGTATCTGCAGGAAAATATTGGAATGCTCCTGTTCGGGTTCCAAGATATTCCATCCCGTTCTCCCCTTTTCCACACCCTCTGATCATATTCAGTCTGCATTGGGCTGTTTTGGGGTGTCCTCCATCATAGGGTTTTTCCTCTAAAGAGCTTATGCTTTGCTGCAACCCTTACGGTTTCCCCAAGCATACTGATACTTCTCTCCTGCATGTGGATGGCGCTGTTTTGTCTTGTTAAGGACCCTTGCGGAGAACGAGTTTGCCATTTATATATAGGACTAGCAAAATCCCAATCATTATGGTGGTTGTGAAGAGAGGATATTGCATGGAGCTCCCTGTGTCCCTTGTTGCGGTTTGTGATCAGTGATAACAACTAAAGAACCATGTGTGGAGTTTGCCCCCACCGCAGCCTTGTTCCCAGTTGCAATGCTTTACTTTTCCAAACCAGAGCTCTCTTTCTTGGTCACACTAGAGCGTGACAGACTCTCGAGAAACTTCTATATGCTCTGCAGGGGTGAAAACAGCTTGTGGGAGTGATTGGAAGTGGGGAAACACTTGATGGGGGGGAAAGGTTAAACTCCCTATCTTCATGCTGCATCTCTGCTCCAAATCTATACCGAAATAATAGCTAAATATAAAATGATGGAAGCAGGTTTACTTATGACACCTGTATGCCAGTGTCTGCAATAGCTCACCAGCACTCAGGTCCATAAATTGTTTTCAGTGCTAGAACTCAGCCCTAGAATAGAGCCTCTCATATAAAAGATAGTTCCCAACATACTGTCACTTTCTGTCATGGGCTATGGAGTCTTGCTTGCCTTATACCAAGTCCACCTAGCCCAGTATGGTCCCCATCAGCTTGAACCTGGGACCATTTTCATTCAAAGCAAGTCATCTGCCAACTGAGCTGTATGTTTGTGATTAGCAGGGACAGGGGTGCAGTTAGCCTCTAATTGCATCCCTTCGTTTCCCCCTTTACATGCTCTCATAGAAGTGAATCATTGCCTTTCCCTCTGATGGGGAATAATAAATTGGTGCTGTTGGGTCACTATTGTGGTGAAAGTGAAATCTGCCTTTAGTTGGGGGACACTTCGTATTCTACCTGTTAGCCCCGTTTGTTTGGCTTGATGGACGTCGTTTTACAGCAACTGCAATGCCTCTCTTCTTTCTCAGTGCTGTGGAGAGAAGCTAAAATTGGTGGAGAGATTGTTAGGAAAGAGGTGCTTAGGATGAATGCAGTTTAGCCATGGTAGCAAACCATGGAGCACCTTCTTCCTCCACTCTGATCTGTTTTGTGGGAGCTCTTTCGTGCCATTTTACAAAGCGTGCAAAATATTAAGGGTGGAATTGACACCATCTTGAAATCAGTGAATTGAGTTCATCACTGTCGTTGCTTTTTACACTTCATCAATCAGCACAACTTTGGGGTATATATTTGGCATCTTCATAAGTTGTGTCTAAAAATGCAGGTGTGCGTCTCTGCTCCCTCATTCCCACTGGCATTGAGCTTTCACATTACTGGATGTAATAAAGAACAATTTTTGCTGTAAATGACAAGTGTTCGTTGAAATGCTATTGCAATGTCCTGAAAGCACCGGCTAAATTTTACTCTTTTATCTGTGCTGAAATAGTTTGTTTTGGAGTTAATGAAATGCTGAAAGCACTCAAATCTCAGTCTTAACCTTGGACAGGAGCCGTAGGAGATCCTTGTACTGTGTCAGAAGCCAGAGTGAACAAGTTGGTAGCTTAACCATAATTTCTGATGTCAGGCAGGAGTGCAGTAAATTAGATTATCTTTATTCTCTCCCCTTTCTCCCTCCAATTCAGGGCATTTGCACCCAGTGTTTAGGATTGCAGCGTACAATTCTGATTTTTGATAAATAGGTTTTGACAGGCGTAGGGGGGGAAAATCAAGGCAGTTGGTCATGCAGAATTTTGATGCTAGGGAACTGGAATAATCCTGTGTAGACTGTGGTCCTGCAAAAGATGATTGCTGATTTCTAGATATTAGGAATCAGAACTCCCCCCCCCCCCCGCAAGAAGGGGTAAACAGTTCCACCTATACTATTACAGCTGGAGTTAATGATCTATTCAGTTGTTGGAGGTGGAGATTGCAATATAAAACATGCTGCAGTTATCATTCCACTTGTAGCAGGTGGTTTGTTCAAATTATAGTTGGTAAATGATAGGAATCACTGGGCAATCTATTGTCTGTGTGCCACATTCCCATTTTTTGGGGAAAAAAAGATCTCTATCTGAGCTCTTGATTTATTGGTCTGTCAATTGCTATGGTTCATCCTTGCTTTTGACATCCTTTTTATTCATCGTGACAACAGTGGATAAAGCAAACGAGCACTGGGCTGGATATAGGTGAAGAGATTTATCAGTATATTACATGGTTAACTGTAGTACAGTTTGTTTAACTAGCATTTTCTTTCATTGGTTTCCAACTCCCCCCCCCTTTTTTTTTTGAGTAAGCAGACCTAACAGTTGGTGCTATGATGTCAAAATTAACCAAAGACATCCCAGCTAGCCTGCGGTATATTTTATCTATCTAATAAGATAGTGACATAATTTTCATAACTCTCGTACGGTATGTTTCAAAGTGATCTGATGAAGCGCATTGTTGTATTCCCCTCTCCACTCCAAGATCATCCAGAGCTGGCACTGCTTCAGATTTTAGCAGTTATATTTTCACATTTTGATGCATCATTAACCCTTCCATAATGAGATAGCTTAAAAGGTAGGTCCAGATATTCAGACCATAAAAGAATATTTATTTGCCACTGTTAATCTGAGGAAACAAACACACATTAAGGGGAATGCTCCTTCCGACCATTCTGGGTTGTCCATCCCCCATCCCCTGCCACATTTGTAAGTTAATTTTTCAGATCAGAGCCAACAGACTACTTGTTGCTTTGGTTTTCAAGTTACTTTACTAATTATCACTGCAGATCTCTGCTGCTGAAAAGGTGCTTTGCATACATCCCTGCCTCCACTTCTTCACTGTACATTCAATAACAATATTTAATATTTAACGTTTTTATATTGTCATAAGGTTCGTCAGTATTATTATGCCCCATATTAAAAAGGGGGTGGGGGAGGCAGAGAGTGTGTGGCTTGTCTAAGACAAGAGTGTTTATTGCAGAGCACAGATATGAGCTGGGGGATTCTTGATTTTTTGCTCAGCCTCTTAGATGCTGCACCACATCACCTCTCAGTTTGGCACGATAGAGTTTACTGGGTCTATAGCCCAGTGGTAGAGCACCTATTTTGCATGCAGAAAGTCCCAGATTCAATCCCTGGAAGGACCGGGAGAGACTCTCCAACCAGAACCCTGAAGAGTTACTGTCAGTCTGTGTTGGCAATATTGAGCTAGATCAGGGTTTCCCAAACTTGTGCCTCCAGCTGTTTTAGGACTGCAACTCCCATCATCCCTAGCTAGTAGGACCAGTGGCCAGGGATGATGGGAACTGTAGTCCAAAAACAGTTGGGAGACCCAAGTTTGAGAAATTCTGAGCTAGGTGGACCAATGGACTGACTCCATGTAAAAAAAACCATCCTGTGCACCGAAATACACTGCAGGTTTCCCATAAGAACAGCAGAATTTATATAGTGCTTCTGAGTGTTCAAACTGTTTTACAAAATTATTGCATGCCTTTATCACAACTCTGCAAGATCTGCTGGGGCGTTGCAGGGCTTTGCAACTGTGACATAGTGAACTGAGCAGAACGGCAGGCGAGAGGCAGGGGTTGTGCCAAATTTTGGGCTTGCACAGGGCACCACTTAAATTTGAAAGGCCAAAGTCTGCCCTTTGCTGGCATTTCTATTCCAATTTTGCAGATTGGGGGAGGGGAGTCTGGTTTAGGCTGATAGTGAATTAGCAAAGGCTGCCTATGATGGTTCATATGCAAAGCAATATGGTTTGGAAGATTGGGGGCAGGGCTGCTTCTGGTCCCAGAGTTTCCGCAGACCCAACTCATTTCTCCTTGTTTAGCTCAGGTGATGTTTTATCACAGGCATAGGCAAACTTGCCCCTCCAGATGTTTTGGGACTACAAGTCCCATCATCCCTGACCACTGGTCCTGTTTGCTAGGGATCATAGGAGTTGTAGTCCCAAAATATCTGGAGGGCTGAGTTTGCCTATGCCTGTTTTATCATCATGTCTGAACTAGCAATCGCCTCCCTCCCAAACCAGAATCAAACCCTGGTTTGTGATCCTTGATCATGATTAAATTGCAGATTATGATACTTCATTGGCATTTATAATATCATTGTTTCCAAACTATGTGTTAGGAAGGGAAATAGAGGCAAGTGTCACGTTGCGGTGTGTTGTTATCCTGGAGTTTAGATCTGAATCTCAGATGCAAAATATTTCATTCTGATCAGATGGCTGCATTGCACAATGGCAGTTCCATTTGTCTGAGTCTTCTCTCCCAGAATAGTAACCGTACATGCCAGAATATTGGAACATTCAAGAAATTATTTCTTAAATCTTAATAATCGTGATTGCTAGATGGATTACCTAGATTTGGAGTATGTGGTGCTTTTGCACATTATGAGTCTTTGACCCACCAAATCAAGCACAGCCCACCTAGTGCGCATTGTGGCCTGCCAGATATGTGACAATCACTTCATTGTTTTTTTTTAGTTGTAGTCAGGCAGCAAAACTAGGGCGCTTGTCAAACCCTTGGTGGTTGTCATAAATGACTGGTGGTTTACATTCGGATTGATGGATTATGAATTGTGTATGCCTGGGACAACTTTTTTCACCTTCTATCACACTACATAGGACCAGGAGCTTAAAGATGCTCCAGATATACATTTAACAATGCTTGGGTTATATTGCTTTTATTCTGTGCTTAAATTTAGAGATAACTGGAGTGTATGCAGGATAAATTTAGAAAGGAACTGAAGGTTATCCTGCCCAGCCTTTTTATTCTAAGGCAGGATCCGTCAAACACAATTCTTTGTGGGCTGATTTCACACATAATACACATGCCCCTCATTTTATGACTATCGCATCAAGTGGGTGACTTGAAACTGGAGATCAAACACCCCAGATAGAACTTCCACATCATCTCAAACGCAAATATTTTCAAAGGAGTTGACTCATGCATTTAGCTGTGATGCAAAAGATGAGAAATCAAGTGATGTACAAGCTACACGCGAATTGGTTCCAAGCGAATGATCGCTATTCTCTTCAGTAATGAGAGAGTCTTTAGAATAATTGAATTTTGGAACCGGGAGAGATTCCTCCAAAGTCATCTAGTCCAACTCCCGCTCGGTGCAGACTTAACGCACCGAGGATGCAACTACAGCATCTCTGAAAAGTAGGCATCCAGCTCCAGTCTGAACCCTCCACTGATGGAGATTCCACCAGCAGAAGCTGCTATATGAGAGCTAATGGGGCACTGCCCCAGCAACAGCAATCTACCCTCAGCCAGCCCCCACCTGCCTGCCTTACTTACAGCTCATCTCGGAGGCAACGTTGCCTATCAGCTTCCTCCTCCTTAGTATTGCGGGAGTTTGGATGACATAACCTTTGTGGTCCCTTCCATTTCTACAGTTCTGTGATGCCAGGACTCTTATGCTCAGCACTGCGGTGTTCCTGGCTTCCAGCTGCAGTGGATCAGACAAGCGTTTGATTCGTCACCCCCCCTCTCTATTTTCATTCTTTCAGTCTCACTAATGGGCCATTTTCACGATGGGGAGAGATTGCCAGTGACCCATCTGTATTCTTGTTCCGGGATGTGGGTGGCGCTGTGGGTTATAAACCACAGAGCCTAGGACTTGCCGATCAGAAGGTCGGCGGTTCGAATCCCCATGATGCGGTGAGCTCCCGTTGCTCGGTCCCAGCTCCTGCCAACCTAGCAGTTCGAAAGCACGTCAAAGTGCAAGTAGATAAATAGGTACTGCTCCGGTGGGAAGGTAAACGGCGTTTCCGTGTGCTGCTCTGGTTCGCCAGAAGCGGCTTAGTCATGCTGGCCACATGACCCGGATACGCCGGCTACCTCGGCCAATAAAGCGAGATGAGCGCCGCAACCCCAGAGTTGGACCTAATGGTCAGGGGTCCCTTTACCTTTACCTTTTTATTCTTGCTCCACTGAAGCTGAAAACCACCATACTACTCATCCCCCGGTTTTGAATCCCATTGTAAGGGTTGTAAACAGTTGGACCTCAACCATTGCAATTTGAGATTCCTGCATTGCGTTGCAGGGGGGTTGGGCTAGATGACCCTCGGGGTCCTTTCCATCTTTTCCATTTTGTGATTTTATGATTCTGTGGCTCCACCTGTCATTGGCCCTGGCTCTTCCTCCTATGAGTTCTCTGCCTTCTGCCCTCCCAGTCCCATTGGGCACCAGCTCCCCATCTCTAGAGGCAGTCTGTGTCACTGTTGAATGGCTTAGGAGATTTCCCCTGATGTTTAGCTGAAAGTTGCTACCTTGCAATTTCTTTGCAATGCTGTCTTAGCTCTCCCATGCTGTGCTTCCACTTGGTAATTGGCAGGTACGAAATGGATGGAAGAAAGCAGGAGATGTTGGAAAAAGGAAGTCGAAGAAAGAAAGAAAAATAAGTGAGTTTTCTGTAGCATATGGGAGAGCCATATCTTTATGTAGAATATTATACAGAACACAGAAAAGTTCTGTAAACTATTCCTCTGAGCGATGCAGGTTGCTGGTTGTTGTCAGCACTTGCGAAAAGTTAGAAATTACACGGTTAAGCAAAAATAAAATCTGCAAAGACATGTGCATAACTGGCAGTGAAAATCCATTGTGAAAATGCTTTGAGCAAGTTGTCTGCAAAAAGACTGGGGTAATCCAGTCAGATGAGCGGGGTACAAATAATAAAATTGTTGTTGTAATAATTAAGCATAAACCAGACACAGAAAACATAGCTGGATAGTTGGCATAAAATTATAAGCCACTTATTAACTAACAGCACAATCTTAATCATGTCTACTGAATTCATTGGGGATTACTCAGAGGAAAGTAGAGTTAGGATTGCAGCCTAAATAACCAAATAAACATAATTACAGTATATTTATTTGTTTGAAGCTGTAATGCTATATATGCTCATCTGGAAACAAGTCCCATTCAACTCAGTGGGACTTAATTTGGAGCAGGTTTGCACTGTATGTTTAGAATTTTAGCGTATTTTTCAGCCCCAGGTTGGAGCATGGCTTTTAAAAATAAAATATTTTTTTCCATTGTGATTTTGTTTGCTTTATGGCGGAGTTGTTAATTTGTTGTTTATTTGGACCTGTTTATATGATTTTGCAGTGTTTGTATATTGCTGTTTCTCTCTGTTTATTTTTATTGCTTTCCCCACTTGCTCTGCAGTTGAAAATATTTAATGAAGAATGTGCTGTAAATACTGCAAATCATAATAAAGATAATAACAAGCCCCAACATCCCCAACCACACTGGCATAAGTGATGCAAATCATGCTAATTTGCGCATATTTCCTTGGTTAGTATCTTATATTTTATTTCTGGCAGTTATAGGAAGGGACAATGAGCTGGTAAAGGGCTATTTCCAACTATATTTGTCTAGGCAGTAAGCAGCACATGATCTGAGTCACAAAGCATTCATCTTCTTTTGACTTCCATTCAACTATCTGGAAATCACTTCCCCAAAATATCTGTTGCATTGGAGTTGATTTGCACTGTAGATTGGGATGTGGGTAGTGCTGTGGTCTAAACCACTGAGCCTCTTGGGCTTGCCCGTCAGAAGGTTGGCGGTTCGAATCCCTGTAACGGAGTGAGCTCCCGTTGCTCTGTCCCAGCTTCTGCCAACCTAGCAGTTTGAAATAATAATAATAATAATAATAATAATAATAATTTTATTATTTATACCCCGCCCATCTGGCTGGGTTTCCCCAGCCACTCTGGGCGGCTTCCAACAAAGTATTAAAATACAGTAGTCTGTTAAACATTAAAAGCTTCCCTAAAGAGGGCTGCCTCCAGATGTCTTCTAAAAGTCTGGTAGTTGTTGTTCTCTTTGACATCTGGTGGGAGGGCGTTCCACAGGGCTGGTGCCACTACCAAGAAGGCCCTCTGTCTGGTTCCCTGTAACTTGGCTTCTCACAGTGAGGGAACCGCCAAAAGGCCCTTGGTGCTAGACCTCAGTGTCTGGGCAGAACGATGGGGGTGGAGACGCTCCTTCAGGTATGAAAGCATGCTGGTGCAAGTAGATAAATAGGTACCGCTGAGGCGGGAAGGTAAACGGTGTTTCCATGTACTCTGGTTTCCGTCACGGTGTTCCCTTGCACCAGAAGTGGTTTATTCATGCTGGCCACGTGACCCAGAAAG